AAGAGCAGCAGAAAAAACACGAGGATCAGCAGCAGCTGCAGCAGCAACAGCAGCAACAACAGCAGCAACAGCCGCAAATAGATGTAGTTTTAGCAGTTATACCTGAAGAGGAGAAAAGAGAAGGAAAAGAAGGAGACTATCGAGTGCCGGTGAGTAAGAGAGACGAGCTTAAGAAGCTGTTGAGTGTTGCTGCGGTGTATATACAGATAAAGAAAAGCAGGTTAAAATATAAAGACTGAATAACACTTAGTGTATTCACCATTTACAAACAAACAAATTACTCAAACAAAAGGAGAAAAGGTAAAAAAAACCCGATGCATGCAAACGAACTAACACACACAGAGAAACAACAGCTGCTGCTGCTGCTGCTGCTGCTGCGGCTGCTGCTGCTGCTGCTGCTGGTTCTACTCGGCATTACAGGAGGCCTCTTATTGCTGTGGATATTGAGTATTTCTCGAGAGAAAGCGGATAAAAAGTAAATAATAAATATAAATTTATAAATATAACTATTAAATATTTAATTAAGCAAACAAAAAGCAAAAAAGTCTTCAGCATATTTTACTGGGTGGTTCAAACCGGTTAGCGGCAGAAGAAGGCAGGAGAAGAGAGGACAAGTTGCAGTAAATACAAGTAAATATATTAAAAATATATTTAAACATTTAAAAAACATTAATTTAAATTTAATATATTCATTATATGCAATAAATAACAACAAAATTTCGTCAGTAATACCAACACTAACATCGATATTTATTTATATAGGAAGACTGCGAGGCATCTCGATGCTATTCTCTTTATTTTGTTTTATTTTATTTTATTTTATTTTACTTTATTTTATTTTTATTCTATTTTATTTTATTTAAATAGAAGGGTCTGTACACCACGAGGCCTCTCTTAAAGGCAGTGGACTTCGCGCTTCGATGCAATGTAACTAGATAAAATAAGCATTATTGTGTATACATATATACATATATATACACATATATATATATATATACGTATAGATATGCATACATATATACGCAATATACACATTATTATATATATACAGTGTTTATAGTGTTTACATTACTATTTACTTATATATATATATATATATACGAGTATAAATATAAGAATAACGATCTATGTTATATAATATGAAGGCCTCAGTTAGTCTATGAAGGCCTCACTTATTGTATGGAGGTCTCTTTGCTTGATTTATTAAGGCGCCCTTTGATGGGATGTTATAATAAAAACGAATTTTTAATTAGATAGCCTCATTGCCCTATGAGAGCAATAATAATAAAAATAAATAATAAATAACAATAATAAATAATAATAAATAATATTAATAATAAATAATAATAAATAAATATAATAATAAATAATAGCGATTAATGGTAATGACAATAAATAGAAATCAACAATAATAAATAATAATATTAGTAATAAATAATAATTAATAATATTAGTAATAATAAATAATAAATAATAAATAATAAATAATAATTTGAGGGCTTTGCTCTTGCCTATTTTTTTATTTTTTTAATCGCTGCATTTTCTGTTTGTCTCCCCGCAGCAGCAACAAAATTATTTTTTGGTTGTCTTCGTCTTTAATAATTTAATTTTCTTTAAGAGCAATTTGCAGCCTCCAGCAGCAGCGCCTCCCTACCCATACATTATATATAATATCTATACATACAATGTGCAGAGAATATATATATATATATATATATATATGCATACGTGTAAATATAGATTATATACATAGAGAGCGAAAGAGAAAGGCTAGATGAATATATACAATTTGTATCTACATATATATGCATATATATATATATATGTATATATACACAAATATATATGTCTAGGTAGATATATATGCGCATATAGAAAAACATATCTCTTTTATATATATGCGTCTATATATATATACATATATATATATATATATATATATAAAATATATATTTAAAACTGCTGAAGTGGCTAGACCTGCTAAACTAATCTGGGGTCTGCATGATGAATATTTCTCTTTCTCTCTCTCTCTCTCTCTCTCGCCTCAGTAAAAGTAATAAAAGAGCAGCTGCAGCAAACGAAGTTCATCTACACTTCCTGCGCCGCTGCTGTCTGCCTCGCCTCTAAGCAGTAGCAGCAGCAACACCAGCAGCAACACCAGCAGCAATAGCAGCAGCAACAGCAGCAACACCAACTGCTGCTGCTGCTGCAGTTTCTGCTGCATGTGTTTGCAGCTGTGTTGTAGTTAATTGCGATGCTGCATACGCGAGGAGTGGGGTGCGTGTTGGAGTGTGCTGCTGCTGCTGCTGCTGCTGCTGCTGCTGCTATCTTCCTTCCTATTTTCTATTGCATGCACGTCTGGGGCTTGTTGTACTTATTGTCTTCTACTTAATCAAAAGCGGGGCAAGCTGAATTGGAGCCTGTGCCTGCTGCTGCTGCAGCAGCAGCTCCAGCTGCTGCTGCTGCTGCTGCTGCTGCTGCTGCTGCGGCTGCAGCTGCTGCTGCTGATGCAGCAGCAAACCGCCGCCAGCCTCTTGTAAAGCAGCAAACCTCAGCATAAACGGAAGAGAGAAAAAGACCGAATAGTAACAGAAACAAATGCAAGCCATCCCCTGCTATACAGACAACAACCAGTGCATTACACCCCAAACACATAAATATATTACATATATATTATATATAATATATACATATATATATAATATATATAAAAGTATATATGCACATATGTATCTATGTATATTATATGTATATAAAAGTATATAATATACATACGTCCATATGCAAAAAAGTATATGTGCATGCAAACAGCAGCAGCAACAGAAGCAGCAGCTGCTGCTGCAGCAGCAGCAGAAAAATGAGTTTAGCGTTTGTTTGAGTTAAGTCTAAACGTATTGAAGTCCGGGTGATTGATTTGCTGCTGCTGCAGCCACTCCTCTAAACGCCCCAACTCGCCCTTGAAGAAAGGGCCCCACTCTTCGTTCTCTGCATGCAAAAGCAAATAAACAAACATAAGCAATAAATAAATGCATATATATACATATATATATATATATGTACGCTCGGTCATTGCATGCATGCACACACGAATAATGATGCCAACGAAATGCATTATATATATATGCATATATATATATATATTATGTAAATATATTATATATATTTGCATTTAAGCTGTCTATGCAATGTGTCTGCTCTCACCTGCTGCAATCCATTCCTGGTGGCCTTTGCTAGCGATAACCGCAAAACGCACAAGGGCTAAAAATTTCTCCTCTTCTGGCTGCTGCTGCTGCTGCTGCCGTTGCTGCTGCTGCTGTTGTTGTTGTTCTTGTTGCTGGCCTGTAGTAGTAGTAGTGTCAGGGTTGAGGGGGAGAGCCTCTGCTTCTGCTGCAGCGGGTGAGACATCTTTGTGGAGTGTACATACACCTGAAGAAAGAGGGGGTTGAGGCTTAGAAGTCAGACGAAGGCGATAATACACCAAGAAAGACGGGGCAGGCACTTTCGAGAATTCGCGTTGAATGGCTTGCCAGTAAACGCACAGCCTGCAGCATTAAAAATAAAACAAATAAATTAATGCATAAATAAATGCTATCATAAAACACATAAAACAAATAATAATTAATTCATAAATAAGTGTTATCAATGCACTGCATCAATAATCATTTTCAGACAAAACAAAAATCATCCACACATACTACATATCATATATCTCTCATAAGCAAAGGCATATTCATAATATATTTATAATACAATATCTATATACATTCTATATATATATGTCATTTTATTTATTTGTTCAATACAAACAAACAATAAACACACCAGCACAAACAAGTAGACAACAAAACTCAGGGATGCAGCTGCAGAAACAGAAGCTGCACACCCCATGTGAACACCGCATACCCCTAAATATGCTTATACGAATAAATATATTATATATATACATATATATACACATATATATATATATATATACATATTATATATAGATTATATATGTAACATATCTATGCAATAAATAAACATTTTCTTTTGTTAATCGGGGCCATCATCAGACATTTCGCTTCACTTTACAGCGGCCTTAGCCTTCAACGGTAGTGACGAAAATAGCGAAGTTTCATCATATTAGCGGCCGATTTAAACATCACACACACCACATCCTTCCACCCCTGCCGGGATTCGAACCCGCGACCTCCGGGTTATAAACCCGACGCCACACCAACTGCACTATTTGTGCTGCATTCGCTGCATGCTGCGTGCAATTAACAGGGGCCAGTACAGCAAAAGCTGCAGCAGCCAAAGAAGCAGCAGCAGCAGCAGCGGGCAGAAGGTCGGGGCACACGTAACTCGTAGCTTCACAAAGAGGCACTCCACGCGCACACAGCAACAGCATGAGCAGCAGCAGCAGCGGCAGGAGCAACATCAGCAGGAGGAACATCAGCAGCAGAAATAGACGTGTAATCTCACCAGGAATCATCTGAGAGGTCTCTGGAGTCAGAATGCAGCAGTTTGAGTTGTTGTGTCTGCGCAACTTCAACTCCCTCCAGCAGCTGCGTCACTTGCTGCGACAGGGGCCTCCTCTGATAAGGTAGCCGCACCTCCATAAAACGGAAGCATCCGCCCTCGGCGCCCCCCTTTGGGGGCCCCTTGGGGGCCCCCTGTGAAGGGCTCCCCATCATGGCGGTGTCGCTTCCCCCGGGGGAATAGCCTTCGGCTGCCCTGTTGCTGCTGCTGCTGCTGTTGCTGCTGCTGCTGCTGCTGCCGCTGCTGCCGCTGAGGCTATTGCTGCGGCTGCGACTGCTCGTGCTACTGCGTTTAGGGAAGAGATGCAGCGCGGAGAGATAAGGCACGTACACCACATAGATGGGTCTACGCTCTTCATCTAACAGCGGCACTTCCAAGCCGAAGATGCTGGGGTCGTCGAAGGAGAGCCACAAATCACTTAGACGGAAACTTAGCGATCTCTCAGCTCCCCTCTTCTCCTCACCAGCATCTCCTGATGCTGCTGCTGCTGCTGCTGCTGTTCCTCCTCCTCCTGGTCCTGCTGCTGCTGCTCCTGGTCCTGCTGCCGACGATAAGGCAGACGCGTCATCCTCAAAGTTGCCCAAATCCCCACCCGAGGAACCCGAGTCACTGCTGCTACTGCTGCTGCTGTTGCTGCTGCTGGCGCCGCCGCTGCTACCGCTGCTGCTGTTGGCGCCGCTGCTGCAACAGAGAGAGCCGCTGGAGTGTCCAGACACCTGAATCGCCGGTGTCGTTGCCACTAAAAAGGACTTCAGGTTAAAAGCACCCCGGGACAAACAACTTCTGCTGCTGCTGCTGCTGCTGCTGCTGGAGCTAGAGTCTGCTGCTCTTGCCTTCCAGCACCCACGCAACCGGCCGCTGCCTCCATCCTCTTCGCTGCTGCTGCCTTGAGCTGTGAATCGCGCAGACGGCAGCAAGGCGTCAGCTGCTGCCGCTGCTGCAACTGCAGCTGCTGCAGCTGCTGTTGCTGCTGAGGAACTCAAAACTAGCGGCTCCGCTGCAGCGCCACCCCCCGCATCAACTGCAGCAGCAGCAGCAGCAGGAGTCTCTCGGCCATACAAATTCTTTTGCTCCTCCGCGCTCATCGGTGTCCGGTCTTCTGACGCAGCTGCAGAATCTGCTGCTGCTGCTGCTGCTGCTGCAGGAGACGCCTGAGCAGAGCTAGAAGTGCCGGCTTGAGGAGACAGCGGAAACTGACAGTGCGTCGCCAGCTGGCTAAAGCAGCGGCCCCGCTGCAGCCCGCGGCCCCCTTCGCCGTCTGCTGCTGCGCAGCACGGTGTCCCTGCGCAAGGCCTTGCAGCAGCAGCCGCAGCAGCAGCCGTTGCTGCTCCGGCTGCTTCTCTACGGGGAGGAAGCTGCTGATCCTGGTCTAAAGAAGCGCGGGCTTTGCTGCAGCAGCAGCAGCTGCTGCTGCTGCAGGGGGCCCTACCTGCTCCCCCAGCAGCGCCGCATGCACAGCCATCTGCAGCTGCTGACTCGGAGTCCCCTCTGCTGTCTATGCTGCTTCTCTTTGATGAAGTGCTGCGCGCGCCGCCTTGCATGCATTGCTGCTGCTGCTGCTGCTGCTGCTGCTCTTCTTCCTGGTGCTGCTGCTTCTGCTCCTTCATCTGCGAGTTTGCTGCAGCGCCTCCTGGGCCTTCGTCTGCTGCTGCACCGCGCAGCGCGCTGCTGCCGCTGCTGTCTGATGAGGCTCCAGAAGAAGCAGCAGGGCCCCCGGCCTCCATCTGTCTCCGGGGCCCCGCGCTGCTCAGATAAGGCAAGGGCCCCATATAGCCCCCATGCGCCTGCTGCTGCTGCTGCTGCTGGTAGAGATAGCGGAGGTACTGCGGAGAAGGCATCTGCTGCTGCACCGCGCTGCTGTTCAGCTGCCGCTCCTGCTGCCCCCGGAGACGCTGAGAAGACCTCATATCCCCATGAGGCCCAGCAGCTCTTCTGTTTTGCTGCTGCTGCTGCTGCTGCGGGCTCCCGTACAGCAAGTGGTGCTGCCATGCGCCCAGAGCGCCAGCAGCAGCCATATGCTGTTCATACACCTGTTGCTGCTGCTGCTGCTGCTGCAGCGCGCCGTCACTCCTGAACTCTGCCTCTCTCTCGCTGCGCCGATGGCTCCGCCCAGATTCCCACCTAGAGTACCCAAAGTCTCCTGCTGCTGCTGCTGCTGCTGCTGCTGGGTTCTCTCCAGAGGCCGTACCCGCACCCCTGCAGCCCCACCCCGCTGCAGCTGCTGCAGCAGCAGCATCCATTCCGTTCCACTGCTCCGCTGCCCCCGGATGCAGCAGCTGCTGCAGTTGCTGCAGCTGCTGCAGTTGCTGCAGCTGCTGCTCCTGTTGCTCCCTCAATGTCCCGAAAGGCCCCGGCACCCAGGGCGTCAGCCCTATACCAGGGACCCACACCATAAAAGGATGAGAGCCCCACTGCCGCTGCTGCTGCTGCTGCTGCTGGCGCCCACCGCTCCCTCGGTGCCACCGGCCCTGCTGCTGCTGCGAGCTGCGCCTGTCGTCGCCCTGCATTGGGTACTGCAAACCCTGCTGCTCTGCTGCAGCAGCAGCTTGCTGCTGCAGCTGCAGCAACTGCTGCTGATACAGCATAAGGCTAGCAGGCTGCGACAGGGGCATCCAGCCACCTCCTGGGGAGGGCAGCATACCAGGAGCGTACCCTAGCGGGGTTTGAGGATCTGCTGCTGCTGCTGCTGCTTGCTGATGCAACTCCAGCAACACGCGCGGATGCAGATGCGGGTACAGATGAGGAGCAGCGGCGATGTGGGGTGGGTGCGGCTGCTGTGCATAGGAGCCTGCGTACCACTGCTGCTGTTCATCTTGCTGCTGCTCCTGCTCCTCCTGCTGCTCCTGCTGCTGCTGCTGCTCTCGCTGCTCGTACGAGCGGCTGCTCGCCTCATTCTGTGGGGCCCTTGAAGCGGGAGCTGTTTGCTTTTCCTGTTCACATGAGTCTCCCTGCGGCTGCTGCTGCTGCTGCTGCTCCTCATCGGGGCGCTTGGTGTGTTCTTCCGGCTGTTTCTGCTGTTCCCGCTGCTCATCATCCTGCTGCTGCTGCTGCTGCTGCTGCTGCTCTGGCTGGGTAGCCAAGTCCGCGGGAAGCGTCTCTGCGGAGTCCCCCTTCCCTGTGCACGTTTCAAGCTGCTGCTGTTCTTGCTGCTGTTCGTCTTGCTGCTGCTGCTGCTGTTGCTGCTGCTGCTGCAGGTCTGGGCTGCTGCTTCTGCGGCTGCTGGGGGACTTGGCAGACTCACTGCGGGCGCCTGTCTCTGCCCCTTCCGTGCCGCCCTGATCTTGTGCGTGGTGTCCCTGCTGCTGCTGCTGTTGCTGCTGTTGCTGTGCGTCTGCAGCAGAGTCCTGCAGCCCCTCTGCCTTGCTCGAAAGAAGGGCCTGGAATCTGCTGCTGCTGGGAGTAAATACTGCTGCCTCCTTCCTCAGTTCTGTCTTCACTGTTGCAGGCCCCGAGCGCACTGCGAAGCCTTCCGTACCTGCAGCAGCAGCAGCAGGTGCAGCAGCAGCAGAAGCAGAGACAGCAGCAGCAGAAGCAGCAACGCCTCCACCCTCAAGCCCTCTCTCCGGAGAAAGACGCAGCCGCTCCTGCCCCATGCTCCCCCTGTGACTCTGCTGCGGCCCAAGTGCACTCGCAGGCCTGCGACCCATGCGCTGCTGCTGCTGCTGCTGCCGCTGCTGCAGGTCTTGTTCGTGGCTTTGCGTGCGCAGGTACTCCTGCTGCTGCTGCTGCTGCAACAACGGCATCTCTGCATGCATGTGCATGAGGGCGGGATGAAGCATCCAGTAGGGCAGGAAGGGAGGGAACCCCAAAAGACCTGCTGCTGCTGCTGCTGCTGTCGCTGCTGCTGCGTCTTCCGAGCCCCTCGGTAGCTGCCCAGTAAGTCTCAGCTGCTGCTGCTGGTAATAGTGCAGCTGCTGCATATAAAAATGGTGCTGCATCTGGCGGTGAGCAGCAGCAGCAGCTGCTGCTGCTGCTGCGTGCTGGCTGCTCTCATAGCCTGCTTCGGGGGTCCCAGCCGCTGCTGCTGCGCTCAGCGGCCTCTGCTGCTCGGAGTCCTGCTGCTGCTGCTGCTGCTGCCATTGGTGCCTGCGCAGCACTTCCTGCTGCTGCTGCCAATAGGGATGCTGCCAGGGGTGTTGCTGCCAGAGTTGCTGCTGCAGCAAGTGCTGCTGCCTCCACTGTCGCTGCTGCTGCGGGCTTTCTGCTGCTGCATAGGGCATGTGGGGCCAGTAGTACCCTGTGGGCTGTACGTACACCTCTTGATCCCTCCGTGCCCCCTGCGGGGCGGATTCTGAGGTCCTAGACCCCTCTCCTCCTCCCTCTTGTTGCTGCCCATCGACCTGCTGCTGCTGCTGCTGCTCTTGCTGCTGCTGCTCTTGCTGCTGCTGCTCTTGCGGCTGCTGCTCTTGCTGCTGCTGCTCTTGCGGCTGCTGCTCTTGCGGCTGCTGCTCTTGCGGCTGCTGCTCTTGCGGCTGCTGCTCTTGCTGCTGCTGCTCTTGCTGCTCTTCACTGGATTCGTCTTTGAAGCGCGGTAGTACTGACATGGGCACTCCGTTGTCAGCCACTTGCTGCTGCTGCCTGCTGCTTCTCGGCAGCAACTCTCCAGTGGAAGCCCTCCTAATTCGCGTTACTGCTGCTGCTGCTGCTGCAGACAGCTGCCACAGCCCAGGTGTACTCGTGCAGCTTCTGGCTGCACACATATCTTCCCCTGCTGCAGCGTCAGTCGCTGCTGCTGAGGTTTCTTCTGCTGCTACTGTTGCTGCCGAGGCGTCTGCTGCTGCTGCTGCTGCTGTCCCTTCCCCTGCCATTGTTAACGGGCTGTAAGGACTGCTGCTGCGGCTGCGCTCAGTTCGCCCAGTCTGCAAGCGGTTCATCGCCGGCTCCTCTTGCTGCTGTTGCTGTTGCTGCTTTTGCTGCTGCTGCTGCTGCACTGGCTGCGAGTCGCCCTGTGCCCCTGGCACCGCTTCGGTGTGCCCTGGTTGCTGCTCTTGAGGCATCTCTTCTGTAGAAACTCCTCTAGGCTGCTGGGGAGGAGGCAGCAACACCATCTCTTCCACGCCGCCGCTGCTGTTGCTGCTGACGGTGGTTGCTTGCTGCTGCTGCTCTTGCTGCTCTTGCTGCTGTTGCTGCTGCTCAGAAGCCCCCGTCTCCTGTGCCTTCTCCAGCACTCGCTGACACTCCCACGCCAGCATGGCATCGGCCAAGACAGCAGCTGGGGCCTGCTGCTGCTGCTGCTGTTGCTGCTGCTGGGCAGCAACAGCAACAGCAGCAGCTGCTGCATCGCTTCTTAGCGTTGTTCTGTAAAAGTACTCGTGCAGCGCCCCCACCACCAACCCCAAAAACACCTTCAGGCTTGGAGCCACTCTTGCTGCACATAGGGCAGCAACAGCATCCTCTGCAGCAGCAGCAGCAACACCCTCAGCAGCAGCTGCAGCAGCAGATGTCCCCGAAGCAGGAGCCGTAACGGCGCTATAGCTTCTAGGTCTTGCCGCCACCGCAGTCGTGTCTGTACAGCTGAACTCCGGAGCAGGACCTGCTGCTGCTGCTGCTGTTGCTGCTGCTGCTGCTGCTTCCTCCGGGTCTGCGTGGCAGCGCATACGATACTCTACAATTGGTAGCAGCAGCAAACAGCACAACACCTCCCTGCAGCAGCCGCTGCAATCTATAAGCGCAAAAACAGTACCGCAGGGGCTCGCCACAGTCCAGGAGGCGCAGCAGCAGCTGCTGCTGCCGCCGCCGCTGCTGCTGCCGCCGCTGCTGCTGCAGCTGCTGCAGTTGCTGCTGCTGCTACCCCCCGCATCGCTGCTGCTCAATTCAACAGCCCTCTTGTCAGTTAAAAAAACGCGCCTGGCGCTGCAACTGTCGCAGCTGCAGCTACAGTGCTCTGCTGCTGCTGCTGGTGCACGTACACTGAGCGGCAGCACGGCAACGGGCTGAATCTCGTCGGAGGAAGTCCTTCTAGCCTGGAGCAGCAGCAGCGTGCTGCTGCTACTACTGCTGCTGCTCTGACTAGCAGGTGCCCTGCACCTGTTCGGTTCAACGGCTGCTGCTGCGGGGGCTGCTGCATCACTGACACCGCGGGGCGCCTCCTCAGCAGCAGCAGCAGCAGCAGAAGGCTGCAGCGCCTCAGAGCCCAACTCGTTTGAAAACCGCAGGAGCAGCAGCTGCGCTGGCACGCCTTCTCGCAGCAGCCGCTGCAGGTTGCAACGCATAGACTGTAGCGGATTGCTGCAAGACTGCTGCTGCTGCAGCTGCTGACGCTGCCCTGTCGGGGCCTCCCCAGCTGCTGCTGCTGCTGCTGCTGCGTCTACCGGTGCTGAGCTCTGAGGCCCAGGCAGCGGTTCTTCAACCGACGGAGGTCCCACGGCAGCAGCAGCAGCAGCAGCAGCTGCTGCTGCTGCTACTACTGCTGCTGCCTCCCGCCCAGGTGCCTGAGGCCCCAGGCCAGGAGAATTGAAAGGCGAAGCCCAGACGCTGCTGCTGTTGCTGCTGGAGCTGCTGGTGCTGCACTCAGCGCAGCAGCAGCTGCTCCCTACGATCTGCTGCAGGGTTTGCACGGCGTCTTCGCATTCAACACAAACCGTGCTGCGGTGTGTTAGGCGGCCCCAGAGAGCAGCAGCATCTGCAGCGGCAGCATCAGCAGAAGCAGTAGCCTGCTGCGCTCCTGCTGCTATTGCTGCCGCCTCCCATCGGCATTCCTTCAGGGCTGACTCGGGTGTATGCAGCCTGCGGAGGCGGCCCCTGCCCGTATAAAGCCACTGTCTTTGAGAAGGAGGGCCTTCCGCTTGCTGCTGCTGCTGCTGCTGCTGAGGTGGCGGCAGGGCGGGACATCGCAGCTGCGCAAGAGAGGGCGGCCGGTCGGCTGTCATGGCTGCTGCTGCTGCTGATGCTGCAGTGGGTGCTGCTGGTTGCGCTGCAGCTGAAGACAAGCACCAGCATCCGCTGCCCCTAGAGCCGCCGCCTTCCTCCTACAGGATGCATTCTGTGCAAAACCCCTGCAACAAAACCCCTCCTGCAGCAGCAGCAGCAGCAGCAGCAGCACCAGCAGCAGCAAGAGCGCTGCGGGAGGCGAGCTGCCTCTCACAAAAGCTGCTGTGCGGCGGCGCCAGGAAAGCAGCAGAAGAGAAAGGCCTGACACAGCGTTGTGCTGCTGCTGCTGCTGCTGCAGCGGCAGCAGCACGAACAGCACAAAGAGTTGTCTGCGGGCCGCTTGAAAGGTATAGAGAGTCAAGTACAAGAAAAGGCCTTTGCTGCAGCTGAGAAAGACGACAGCAGCAGCAGCATCAGCTCACAGCGCGCTGCAGCCGTCTCCATGTCTCGCCCCTGCCGCCTCCTTGCTGCTGCTAATGCCCAGGCCTATCTGCTGCTCCCGCTGCACATTCGAAGAGCAGCAGCAGACAGACGCACCTCTGAGGCCTGGCACCGGTACAGTGCTGCTGCTGCGGTTGCTGCTGTTAATGTGCTTCAGTTAATCTGCCTCAGCATATACCAACGAGGCCCTGAGATCGGCAGGATGGGTGTGCTGTCTGCTGCAGCTGCGGTCGCTCGCTGAGCTACCACAGGAGCAGCAGGAGCAGCAGCAGCAACAGCAGCAGCGGGAGCAGCAATACCAGCTGCTGCAGAACCCTGTGTCTATGGGTCAGTAGAGGTGTACGTACACTGCGAAGAAAAAATAAAGGAAAGAATGCAAGGGCTGCGTCCGTGGATGGACGGGGTGGGGGCGCCTGTGGGGCGTTTGGGGTTGAAGGGGGTTGTAGGTTAAGAAATAAAAACAGAGGAGGCAAAGGCCTACCAACTAATACACATCAAAAGGCTTAGAAAGAAAAGAAAAAAGAAAAGAAGAGCGTCTGCTGCAGCACCGGTCCCTACGCTGCTGCGCTGCTGCTGGGCTTGGCTGCGACTGAAGCTGTGAGAGGTGTTAATGCAGCTGCTGCGGGTAATAAGCACCCTAAAAAAGACAAATAAAGAACAAATAATATTTAATTTCAACGAACAGCAACAGAGAATTGCTTCAGTAGAGAAGGCGCTCCTCTGGATTGATGAATTTATGCTCTTGATGGGGCCTCCCGTACAACTAGCAAGCAGCGGGCGGCCGCTGCAGTCAGCCCCACACGATCTTCAGAATATACTCTTTTTTAATTCAAAATAATATAATTGTATTTCAGTTAGTACTTCTCTAATCATATACAATTCAATAAAAAGAAGAACAACGCGTATACCCTCACGCATAGACAACCAGACCCATCGTACGCCAGCAGCGCAGCATCAGCACTATCTGCACACTCCGTGTCTCTAGCCACGCATTTTTTCTGCTGAGTTTTTATCAAATTTCCCCTAAAATAATATTTAAAATGAAATTTTAATGCATTTTGATGCCCTTAGAACTGCAAGAGGCCGATGTGCGCCGCCGAAGAGCGTTGAGAGGGACCCGGGGTAAGGCGCGGTGCTGTTGAATATTCATATTGATGTAAAATAACAGACAAAAAAAACTAAGTTTAAATGCAAAAATAAAAACAAAAAGAAAGAATCAAGAAGAAGAATACAAAAAAATGAATTCAATAGAAAACATGAATATAGACAACTCACCTTCACGATAGAACACCACCACGGCATAGAAAGCAATACAAACTTATGAATCTAAAACTAAGAACAAAATTATATATTTGTTGATATTTATTCTTCATCGTGACAAATAAATATAAACAAATACATTCAACAATAGCGACTAATACAGCACTGTGCATCGCACTGAACTCTCTTTGTTCATCGTATAGCTGCAAAAAAGAAACCTCTCTGCCTTCTGATTGAACATACAAATAATATAATTCCTCTTTTGAAAAACTTTCATAGAAACAAAATACGTTTCTCCATAGTAAGCAGCAACAGCTCCTACGGCTGCGGCAGCTTTTTATACGAAAGACCCTCTACTGAAAACCCTTGGCTTGCACAGTGTATATTCTCAGTGCAGCAGACAAAAAATATATATACATTTAGAATGAAATATCCATCTCATTCTTTTTTGTTCTACTTAGAAAACCACCAGTGAGAAGGGGCTTCAGGCTTATGCAGCCCGCAGCTGCAGAAGAAGAAGGCCAGGGAGGGATAGAACAGCAACTATTGCTTAGAAAACAACAGCAGTTTCTCTTTAAAAGCAGCAATAACCGGCGTTTAAGCCAATATATAAACAAAAACTTCTTACAGAACTCTAATCTACAGACCAACAACAACAAATGGGTAGACAGCAACAGTAATTTATGTTTAAACGCCAGCAGCCACTTGCATTACACGATCAAGAAATTCTATAGAACAAACAAAAACTTCATTTAGAACATCAACAGCAAATGCTGTTTGATACACCAACAAGAACGTCTGTTGTTGAGGCCTATAACAACTTGCAGTTTATAAGCAGCAGCTTCTATGAAGAAAAAACAAAAACTTCAATATAATCCTCAATAGCTTGCGTTGTAATAGCAACAACAACTTCTGTTTAAAAGGCAGCAGCAACAACTCTTGTTCAGTTGTGCAGAACAATATATTGCTACGCAGCAGCAGCAGCAGCAGTCGCCGCGCCGCAGCAGCAGCAGCAGTAGCAGTTGCTGTGCAACAATAGCTCTAATCTCAGTTAGCCCGCAATGAAGCAGCAGTGGAGCAACTCTGTCTTCTTCCTTTTCTGTTACTGCTGCTTCTACTGCTTTTGGTGTTGCTGCTGCTGCTGTTAACGCTGCTGAAGCCAGTAGCAGCTCTTGTGTTGCATGCTTGTGTGTATGAACCTGCAGCTGCTGATGCTGCTCTTGCGCTACGTTTCTGGTGCTGCTGCAGCTGCTGCAGCTGCTGCCGTCGATGTTCCTTTAGATGCTGCTGCTGATGGTGTATCCCCCATGCTTCAAGTGCCTGCTTCTGCTTTGCGAAGTTTAGCGCATTGCTGCTGCTGCTGCTGCTGTTTTTGCTGCTACCAGCTAACGGAGGGGTTCCCCTTCGAAGGTGAAGATATGTCTTCTCAGTCTCTTTTTCTTTTTTGTTTTTCTTTATAAAGGGGTTTATTCTCTGTGTCTACTTAGTTGTTTTTCCGATGAAGTTCTCAATTAAAAGACTCTCCTGGGGCCTCCTTAGGACGCAGTCAAGTAAGGAAGGCAGTCTAAAACTCTTCTTTTTTCACACCCTCTGCCTGCAAGGCCGCTATATAAAAGCTCTCTCTATACAAGCCCCCTCTGTAGAAAGCAAAGCCTTCATAAAAGCCCCTCTTTATAAAAACCCTCTTTGTCATAGGCCTTAACGCACAAACCCCCTTTATAGAAAGCTTTCTTCAACAAGAGATCTATATGCAGAAGAGGAGAGGGAGATAAACAAAAAAAATTATTTCTGCTCTCCACCGCAGACTGGCAAGTAACATCTCTTTTGGTTAATTTATAAAAAAACTAAATTAAGTGAATAGAAAAGTTGGTCTCAATTGTTTCGGGCTATTTGTTATACATCTCAAAGACAAGAACAGCCACTAAACGCCCCAGCCCCTCTTTATGTATGCCCCAAGCGGCCTCCTTCCCCCTCCCTAAGAGACTGCAGATCAACACAAAAAGAAACAAAAGAAGAAGCAGAGAAAAGTCTCCGAAAGGGGAGTCTCTGGGGGCTCTTACAGCACAATGTGCAGAAATAACTTCGCTATTCAGAACAAGTCGAAGGAAGGCGACAGCACACAGACGGTGCCCAGGCAGTCTCAGGAGTATGTATATACAGCAATACACCCCAAATAAGTTCCTCGTTCTAAACTATTTCGGGGCGTTAAAAGGTATAAACTTTCGAGCTTTGTACGCTGCCTAGCCAGCTAGCAAGCGAAGCCAACAGCCAGCTAGCTAGCTAGCTAAATAGCTGGGATGGGTTATTAAAGCACTTGGCCTGTTAGCTAGATTGAGGGAAATCCCGCTAGGTAGCGATCAAGCTGCAGTTACTTCGAAAACGCACACTGCAGTATACACCGTAAGTGGTGTGAGGGTTTGGACTGGGTTTATTGCCCCGAGCGTGTAGGGGGGATTCAAACGATACAAGCCGTCGTTACTTCATATAAAAATAACAAAAAGAAGAGGAGTAATAACTCGCTGGTAGATCCCCGATCAGCGTTTCTTGGGCGTGCGGTGTATCAACACAATGAGAATGCATTCAAACATCATCGGTGTACTGAGGCCAGCACGAGCTGCAACAAAGCAGCACTTATGCTGTCTATACAGAGCCCTCTAAGCGCATGCAGGGAGCGTACAACGTGCATGAAGTGCAAGCACACTGCAGTGTACGTACACTAGAAGCGGCAAGAAGTAAAAACGAGAGAAGGCACTTAAAACCCAAGTTTAGGCGACAAGTCCGTCAGGTCCTGCGGTACGCACTTTTGCGAGAGTAATAACAAATATATTTTTTTCTTGAAGAGTGGGGAAGAAGAAAGGAATGCAGTTGCCTGTGGCGGCCAGGTGTATAGCCACACAAAAATCCCCAGGGGTTATACCTGCTGAGCAATCTACGCGCTGCAGCTGTGCAGGTGTATGCAAAACACTCTTCACTGAACTCAACTCCACTGTACGGCTCTTCAAATCGCAAGACAACTCCAAAGCCTTGTTATCCTTGCTGAGCTTCGCCCTGCAGTCCAGTCGCGACTTGTCCTGAGACACACAAACCCTAAACCCTAAACTCTAAACCCTCAACCCTAAGCCCTAAAGGGAAGGAGTTGAAGCTTGTGCAGTCTCAGGCTGGGAGGGTAGAGGGTAAGCGAGGAATAGGAAAGTATAGACCCTAAAGCCTATATATATATATATATATATGTATATATATGTATATATATACAAGGGTAAGCAGAAGGAAAC